TCAAATCGAACCGGTCGAAAAAAAAAGGTCGTAGTTTTGTCCTTTAGTGATTCACTTGCTGTTGCCCGTTTCGGTTAACGTTTTGAATTCACAGGAAACGTGGCAAAAATATAGGGGAGAGTGTCTTGAATTCACAGGTAACGTGGCCAAATACAGGGGAGAGTGGTAGAGAGCGAGTGCTAGAGCAAGTGCTCTAATGTTGAAGTATAGAAGCACAAGCCACTTCCGCCTATAAATATTCCAAAAAAATCCGTCACCTCTGCTCTACACTCTCTCATTTTCTTGGCTCTCATTTTCTTGTCCCGCTGTAAGATCTGCCCTTGCTACTCCCACATCTCCTATGGATCCATACAAGGTACTGTCTCTGTCTCTCCCCTTCAGCTACCTTATGTGTTCATAATCTACAAATTACGATTCACGGTTTCCTTGATCCAACTCTGCATTCCATCGTTGTGTTTTTAATTTGATTTCTTTTGAAAGATCACATGCGAGAGTTGTTTCCGATTACCATTTCCGGCGTTAAAATCATTGATATTGATGAGAAATCATCAGAAAAGAACTTGGTTAAAGTCGTATTGGATATTGATGAATTTAATTAGATTTGTATTTAGATGATTCTAATTGAACATGTTTTTGGTAATTATTTTTTTTAAAGTATTTTTCAGTACAGACACATAATATTTTTTAGTTTAGATATTGAAATGATCAAAAATATTTTTAATAAAATTATTTTTTAAGCTTATTTATGAATGATATTTTTATTTTTATTATTTTTTGTTGAGCATGAAGAAATTTGGGGGAGTGGTTTTTTAAGTCATCGGTTAGACTCGAACTCTTAATTGATTATTCTCAAGTACTTAAAGTTTATGATGAACCATTGAGATCGAAGATTGAGATCCATATTTTTATAATTTTAATATTTAAATTACACAAAACAAAATATTTGGTATTAAAAAAACACTTTTTTTTCTTTTAATATATGACATGATAAATTATAAAATAAAAATATAACCCTCCTGATCTCGAAATTTAAATTCGAGATCGCACCTTGGGGACTGTATTGTTGATTAATTATCTTGTTATGTATGAATCTTTATTTGGGAGTTTTGTATGTGTTGCTGCAGTACCGTCCGTCAAGTGCTTACAATTCCCCGTTCTTTACCAACAATTCTGGTACTCCTGTTTATAACGACAACTCCTCACTGACTGTTGGATCTAGAGGTATTCATTTCTCTTTCTGCGATAAACGTTGCTTTGGTAACTATGTAATGGTTAATCTTGGTAGTGCTTTTTGGCTTTTAGCTGTTTATGGCATGGATATTGCCATATCTTTTTTATAATTGATGCCTCCTTTTTAAATGGTAATATGGCTCTTGGACGTCTTTGAAACTGAAGTAGGCTATCTTAATTGTGTTTTACCATCAGGAAATCATTCTCTCTTATCCCGAGTTTGTTTGTGTTGGTTGTTTTGTGTGTGGACAGTGGGAAGCTTGGCTGCTTTTTGACCCATTAAGTTTAAGACTTTGTTGAAGTTATTTATACGTATGTTTCTATTTTGCAGGTCCTGTCCTTCTTGAGGATTACCATCTGATCGAGAAGCTTGCCCATTTTGAGAGGGAGAGGATTCCAGAACGTGTTGTCCATGCTAGGGGGGCCAGTGCAAAAGGCTTTTTTGAGGTCACTCATGACATTTCGCACCTTACATGTGCTGACTTCCTTCGAGCCCCTGGAGTTCAGACTCCTCTCATAGCTCGCTTCTCCACTGTCATCCATGAGCGTGGCAGCCCCGAAACCATTAGGGACCCTCGTGGTTTCGCTGTGAAGTTTTACACTAGAGAGGTGAGAGTTATAGATGCATTTTTTTGTGTGCTAATCTTTTAAAGATAGATGGCTAGTAAGTGGTGAAACTTGGTACGCCTTCTGTATTTGTTTCTATCTTTATTTATTTGATAAAATGGGCAATGCTAGTGGCTATATAGAAGATGATTTTTAACATTCTACAGTCATGTAGACTCTTTTTGGCCTTTAATGTTCATGCGAGTAGATCTCAGTTAATTATGCATAAGACTATGGAATTTGTTATTCCTTCTTGTTTCTATGTACAAATTCCTTCTTGTTTGTATGTTCATATCATAACCTTTTTGTTTGAACTCAGGGTAACTTCGATTTTGTGGGAAACAACTTCCCTGTCTTCTTTATTCGTGATGCAATGAAATTCGCAGATGTGATCCATGCATTTAAACCCAATCCAAAGACTCATATCCAGGAGAACTGGAGGATCCTTGATTTCTGTTCCCACCATCCTGAGAGCTTGCACGCGTTCACCTTCTTCTATGATGATGTGGGTGTTCCAACAGATTACAGGCACATTGAAGGTTCTAGTGTTAACACCTACACTCTGATCAACAAGGCTGGAAAAGCACACTACGTGAAATTCCACTGGAAACCCACTTGTGGAGTCAAGTGCTTGTTGGAGGAAGAGGCAATCAAGGTTGGAGGGACTAATCACAGCCATGCGACTCAAGATCTCTATGACTCAATTGCAGCTGGCAACTATCCTGAGTGGAAACTTTACATCCAGACAATTGATCCGGATCATGAAGACAGATTTGACTTTGATCCACTTGATTCGACCAAGACCTGGCCAGAGGACATCTTGCCTCTGCAGCCTGTTGGACGCTTGGTCTTGAATAGGAACATTGACAACTTCTTTGCTGAAAATGAAATGCTTGCATTTTCCCCTGGTACTGTGGTTCCTGGCATCTCTTATTCAGATGATAAGATGCTCCAGGGTCGAGTATTCGCCTATGGTGATACACAGAGGCACAGACTTGGACCAAACTATCTGCTACTCCCAGTCAATGCTCCCAAGTGTGCCCATCACAACAACCACTATGATGGTTTCATGAATTTCATGCACCGAGATGAAGAGGTATGTAGCTACACTAGTTACACTTTTGCAACAGCCACCATGATGGTTTCATTAATTTCATGCCCATCTTTTGCTCTTTTTTATTTTTTTTATCCTGCTTGTTATTGTTAGATTGTCTTCTTATCTGGTGCCATACTTCTGTTTTCCAGGTTGATTACTTCCCTTCGAGGTATGATCCTGTTCGTCATGCTGAGAAGTACCCTATTCTTCCTACCGTTTGCAGTGGAAGGCGCGAGAGGGTCAGTTTCCTGTTAACATCCTTGTCCGTTTTTGAAAGTGGTATTTGTGGGGGTCAAATTAGTTTAACCAAGTTTCAAAATTTTCAATTGTGTGAAGCCTGATTTTTCTGCAGCTTGACTCTTTGTAATAGTCGACTTGATTCGAAGAGATTTTACTTACAACTTTGATTGAAATGCAGGTTTAGATGCTTCTGCACCCTGAAGTAAATTTTTCCAACAATATGATGACAAAGAATATAAATAACATGCTTATTGGATTCATAGGTTAAATATAGCATAGCATTTAAATAATTAGAACAAGCATTTACTCGAGATGGTTATGGTAATAATTATTGCGCAAATGGGCAGAGAGAGTTTTCCAGCAAAAACTTCCTTCCTTGGCCTTTCTTTTGTAGGGATGAAGGGGTGGTTTGAAGTTGTGTGTCTTGTTCTCTTCTAAAGTTAGCAAAGTATTTCAAGTATTCTGTGTGGAAGTATTGCTTTATTTAATGGTGAGTAATATGCATACGGTTTGGTTGATGCAGTGCATCTTTGATAAGGGGAGCGACTTCAAACAGCCTGGAGAGAGATACCGATCCTGGGCACCAGACAGGTATCCACGATCCCTGTTTCCTTTGAATTGAAACATTATTAGTATAAGTCATAACATTTGTTTCTTTCTTCTGCTATGTCTTTATTACCAGACAAGAGAGATTTGTCTCCCGATGGGTTAATGCCTTATCTGATCCACGCGTCACCCATGAAATTCGCAGCATCTGGATCTCATGGTGGACTCAGGTGAGACTCTTCTTTGTTCCCTCCAAGGCTTCTCCCAAATTTCCTTCCTTATTTTGTCATTGATAGTGTTTTAACATAATACAACATGCTTTGTTGCTGTATGATACAGGCTGATAAATCTCTTGGTCAGAGGCTAGCAAACCGTCTTAATGTGAGGCCAAGCATCTGAATCAGAAAACAACCTAGACAATCGAGGTTGCATGGGCGAACACATCCTAAACATTGAGTGGACATCTGCAGTAGTTGAATTCTGAAACTTGCTGTTATCATATTTGGTTGCTGTGCTATATATGTATTATATTTTCTTTCATGGAGGTTGCTGTACTGTATTATTGTGGAACAAAGCAAACTTTTTGCATGTCATGTGAGTTTACCTGATAATACTAATAATAATTAATAAATACCAGCTATGTTAACTGGTTCAATTATGGAAACACATCCTGGTACATCACCAATCACGGCTCAATCAACTCCACCGGATAACTGATTCTAATCATCCTTACAATCAGCCATTGCCATTCATATATTCTGCATTTATAAGATTCAGTGTATTGTGTATGTTGCTGTTTTTACAAGTT